GCCCGGCTTCCTGGCGACGGGCGTGCCGACGGTCGAGATCAACTTCGGCGGCCACTCCGGCCTCACCTTCTCGGGCGGATCGAGCGGTTCGGCCGTGTTCGGCCTGGCGCTGGGCAATTCCGGCAGCAACGGCATCACGCTCAACAGCTCCGACATCACGCTGAACGCCAACTACATCGGCATCCATGCCGATGGCAGCGCCTTCGGCAACGCGCTCGACGGTATCCACGTCAATTCGACCTCGTCGGGCAACCTGATCGGCCTCAACCCCGAGAGCCATCCCGACACCGTCACCAACGTGATCTCGGGCAACGGCGGCAACGGCATTGCCTTCTGGGGCTCGTCCGGCAACACGGTGGTGGGCAACCACATCGGCACCAATGTCGACGGCACGGCGGCGATGGCCAACGGCCAGAACGGCATCCTGATCACCAACGGCGCGCACGACAACATGATCGGTGGCACGGTCTACGTCGATTCGTCGACCGGCCAGGCCAACGATCCGACAGGCAACAAGGGCACGATCGTGCCGCCGGTGCTGGTGACGCCGCCACTCGGCAACCTGATCTCGGGCAACGCCCAGAACGGCGTGCTGATCCAGAACGGGTCCGAGAACAATGTGCTGAGCGGCAACTTCATCGGCACAGACGCCGACGGTACCGCCGCCATCGGCAACGGCGCGGACGGTGTGCACATCCTGAACGCCGATAACAACTCCCTGCTGGGCTGCGACTTCTATACCGAGCCCTTCGTCTACTACAACGTGCTGAGCGGCAACGGCGCCAACGGCGTCCATATCACGAACTCCGACAACGCCACGATCCAGGCCAACTTCTTCGGCGTGGGCGCCGACAACGCGACGACGGTGGGCAACGCCCAGAACGGCATCCTGGTCGACGGCGATTCGCGCGACACGACGGTGGGCGGCGTCATCCCGCTCGGCAACGTCTCGGCCGGCAACGGCCAGAACGGCATCTACGTCACCGACACCGCCAGCGGCTTCACGACCTTCAACACGTTCGGCGGCCTGCTGGCCTTCCAGGGCTCGGCGCCCAACGGCAACGACGGCATCCTGGTCGATTCGACCGGCGGCAACATCCTGATCCGCACCAACGTCTTCTCGGGCAACACCAACAACGGCATCGAGATCACCGGCGACGCCTGGGGCGTCACCGTCGATCCCAACATCGTCGGTCTCGACACCGAGGGCACCAGCGCCACGGTCAACACCGGCATCGGCATCCCGAGCATGGCCAACGGCGGCAGCGGCATCGTGATCAGCGGCACCGCGCACGACAACATCATCGGCGGCTACAACGGCTCGGTCATCCCGCAGAACACCTTCTCCAACAACGGCGGCTACGGCGTCGAGATCACCGGCACCGCCTACAACAACCAGGTGTTCAACAGCGCGATCGGCACCAGCTCGACCATCACCACCGGCTTCGGCAACGGCCAGGGCGGCATCCTCGTGTCCAGCACCGGCACCGGCAACCTGATCGGCGGCGTCGAGGCGGGCCCCGACGAGCCGCGCGCCAACTACATCAGCGCCAACAACGGCAACGGCATCACGATCGACGCCGGTGTGACCGGGCACCCAGATCGTCGACAACGTCATCGGGCAGAACGCCGTCGGTGCGCCGCTGCCCAACACGGGCGCCCAGATCGACGACCAGAGCAGTGCGAGCAACTTCATCGTCGGCAACGAGCCCGGGCCGACGCCGCCGGGCACGCCGCCGGACATCACCTCGAACGGCGGCGGACCGATCGCCAGCATCACCATGGTGACCAGCCAGACGCTGGTGACGACCGTCACCGCCGTCGACGTGGATCCCGGCCAGACGATCTCCTACGCGATCACCGGCGGCGAGGATGCGGCGCTGTTCCAGATGGTCGGCGGCAACCAGCTGAGCTTCATCAACGCCCCCGACCTCAGCCACCTGCCATCGGCGGGCGCGACGCCGGGCTAT